TGGCTGGCTCTGGAGTTTGTGATACCGCCCACCTGCGGCGGCAAAGATGCACGCAATTTCAGCTGTGTTGGAGTCAGGGGAGTACCTGCTAGTGACCTGCGGTTCCAACATGGTGTCTCCTAGTCTGACCCAAGCCCACTCTGTGATTTGCTGGGAGGGGAGGGAGCTAGCCTTTCTGGCGCAGCAGTGAGATCTCCGCCTGAATCTCAGCTGTGGTACCTGTGCCCGCCTGCACGCAGATGACCTAAATTACCAACAAAATCAGCTGCTGGTGGCAAGTCTTTGCCCACTGGAATATTGTATTGGTCGCTGGTATGCTGCTATAAGGTGACTTCTTCTTGCCTCGGGGATCTCAAGCAGCCGCCCTCGGCCAGCAGACTGTGACTGCCCCACCAAAGTTTGCAGTGGTCTATCTTGGGTGCCTGTCCATCCTCCAGCAGGAGCTCTTTCCTAAATAATCTCCCTCTGCCTTTCCTCTAATTATTCTCTTCTGTGTTTGGTGGACTCTGATTCAGTGAGCTTTTCAGAGCACCAAAATTCCTAATTCAAATGGTTGTACCTAGTTTTCAAAGTCCTTAGATGCCAGAGGGAAAAAAAAGCATGCTGCTAAGTGCCGAGACTCCATTTTGAATCCCTGAATTTCTATCTGTAGATTTAGAATCATTTCTAATTTTTCATCTATTTAGATACCTAAATATAATTCTTTTGAATTCCTTATCAGAGAGTTCCAATGCTGCTTCTTCCTCAGGGATGTGTTCTGGGTCTGTATCCTGCTCCCTTGATTCTACCACTTTATCCTGCTTCTTTGTGTGGATTGTGATGGTCTGTTGTTTCTGAGGCATCGTGACGTTGTTGTATTTAGATCTCTGTTAACTGTTTGTGAAGAGCAGCCAAGGGTGATTCAGGCTCTTCTTGGTGTTTTTTTAATCGTTGACCCATTGGTGGAGAGAGAAGGAGGTAGTGGCTGTCGCTCAGTAAGTGAAGTTGCTGGAGGTGTGGGTGTAGTTGTTTTATGCGGAATGTTGGTGTCTGACACTCAGTTAGACACAAATTACAATTGAATAGCCATCAAAAAACTGAAAGCACATGGCCAAAAATACACCATGTAATCACACAGGAACAGTAACCAAAAAAAGGGAAAAGAAGCAGAAAAAAAAAGAAAGCCTGCAATATCTGTGGATAGGGCACTAAGAGAAGAAAGGTAGAGAAGGAGAATTATGAAGGAAAAAAAATGGCAAAAATGCAAAACGAAAAACAAGGAATGGGGTTAACCACAAGTAAAAAGGGGAAAAAAAATTTCAGCCAGGAACAGGGAAAAGAAAAATGCTGAAAACTAGGATCTGGAAGGGGAAGAATACATATAATAGTAAAAAAGACAAAATAATAATAGTTGTTTTAAAACAGACAAATACAAGCAAACTAATCACCAGAAAAAAGAAAGCAAAACAGAAAAAAATAAAAATACAAAAAGAGAAAAAATATCGGTGGAGGACAGGGCAGGGTACCCAGGCTCCTTCTGAGCACACAGACTGTGATGGAGTTCCTGTGGGCCCAGAAG